GTTCCCCAACAACACAGTTCAAATTTCAGTTAGCACAGTATAATAACTGTGAACAGTTGCATAAATACAATCTTTGCTGCTAGGTTTTCAGTCCACAAAATTACTACGCAAATAGCAGACGCACACCATGATAAGGGACCAAGCACATCACTTCACAGTCCATCGATGATTAATCACTGGACATCTGCTGTTCAGTTTATGCACAGACAGCAAAGCATGTAGTTGTGTTGCCTCCTTATCTCCAAGTGACATTTACAAAATGGATTATAGAACTTGCTAATAAAAAGAAAAGTGAAACAAAGAAACAAGAAGTGATGATGATGGAAGTATGTTTAAATCAAAGGTCAATGGAGTTATAGAAGAAATGGGTCGCCATGGGAATGTTGACACTTCCACTGTTCAAGTCCAGGTGGGCAGCCAGAAGAACTTAGCAAAGGTGAGGAAATGAGCATAAATGAGGAAAGAGGTTGTGGCGAAAAGGATGAAGATGTTCCAGAGGAAGTAACATGTGTAAGAAATTTACCTTAAAGGAACTCTCAAAGATATTGCATGACATTGAAAGCACAAAGAATAAGATATGGGAAGTTGACCCAAACTTAGAAAGGATTGTGATAATTTGCCTCAGCATAGAAAAGATGCTCATAGTAAGTTATATGACAAGAAGGCAAGCAATGTCCAACCTACTCACAATAAGCTTTATACAAAGAAATAAAACACATTAATTCTCAATATTTCCAATGTTTTATAGTATAATAAATAAATATTAAGTTTACTAATATTTTCATTTTCCTATGCATTTCTAACTAATGATATTTTGACAAAAGTTTATAAATATCACAAAATCATTGTAATTTTTCCCATTGATAATGAAGATCAGTTTACAGGGTTTTAGCTTGCATGATCATTTTTATAAATCTGCATTATCATGCAAAATGAAGACTGCCTTAAGTTTACATGTATTAACTCATTTAATCTTCAAAATATCTCTAAGAAATAGACACTGTAATTAAATGCATTTTATAGACAAAGAATCTGAGGTTCAAAGAGGATAAATAATTTGACTAAGGCCACACAGCTGGTAAATGGTCAAACCTACTGGATCCTAAAGCCAATGATCTGAACCCCTGTGCTATATAGTGAGTTCAGGTATATGACTCTGATGGGTCAGAAAGGAGAGAAGGTAGTGAGAGATAAAGGTACCTTCCCCAACATATACTTCAAAAGACTAGACTAGCACTGTCCAAGGGAGCTTTCTGCTTTCTATAATACAGCAGTCCCCCCTTATCCACAGAGGATATGTTCTAAGACCCCCAGTGGATGTCTGAAATTGTGGATAGCACCAAACCCTATATATACCATGTTTTTCTGATCTGATAACAGAGCCAGTTACTAAGTGACAAATGGGTGGGTAGCTGTACAGTGTGGATATGCTTGGCATCCAGGGCAGGATGGTGTGGGATAGTGTGAGATTTCATCACACTACTTAGAACAGCAAGCAATTTAAAACTTATGAATTATTTCTGGAATTTCCCATTTAATATTTTCAGACTGCTGTTGACTGCAGGTAAGTATAACCATGGAAAGTGAAACCATAGATAAGGGAGGACTACTGTATATATATAGAATATATATTTATATAATCTATAATCTGTAATATAGAATATATATATTCAACCATAGTATACATGTAAATACACAGTGTATTTCAGAATTCTCCTTTTCTTGATCCTCTAGGGTCTTGATCCATCAAGTTTCAACTCTTCCTGAGGCAGGCCTGGTTGATTATTTCAACCAACTGTCATTTCCAACCTTCTCCCTGACTGCCTGTCATTATTGAGGCTGGGGTAAAGAAGAAAACCTCAAACAAATCGACAACCACTTCCCCAGACTACTATACCCACCTTCCTTGCAAGATGACCCCTAGTGTCTGCTCTGGTCTTCTTTCTCAGTCACAGAATCTTGACTATTAGCAGAGTACATGGCCACTCTAAATAAAAACTACATTTTCTCAAACCTTCTCCAACTTGCTGTGGGCTGTGACTAAATATTGACTTACAAGATGTAAGCAGAAGTAATGTGTATAATTCCAGAATGTGTTCTGTAGGAGGACACATTCCTTTCCCTTATTCTTTTCTGCTGGCTGGAATGTAGATGTGATAGCTAGAGCTGGAGCATCCATCTTGAACCATGTGGTGGATGGAGCCTAAGTTCCCGAGAACTTAGCGAAGGAGAGCTGTCATGCTAGCTTTGGACTGCAACCTCCAAAATTCATTTACATGGAAAACATGTAAACATAAACTTTTAAAGCTACTAGTATTTTGGTATTTCTGTCACTACAGTTAACATAATCTTAATATACCAAACGATCCAGTTCTGACCAATGAAACTTAAGGGCAAGTATGTTGGGTGGCTTCTGGGCAAGATGCTATTCCTCCTTGTGAGAGGAGAGTTCTATCTCCCCATCCTGGCCATCCTCCTGCTTCCTGCTTTTGAGCATGGCTGTGTGAGAACACAATGTCCAGAGCTGCAACAGCCTTCTTATGACCATAAAAGATAGGTCAAGAGAAATTCAGAGCCATTAACCCAGAACTGTGACACCAATGAGCTGCTGAACTAACCCTGGACATACCTCACTCTGATTTCTTGTGCAACTCAATTAAGAACTTTACCATTTAGCCCCTAGGGGTTGGGTATTCTGCTACTTGTGGAAGAAAGCATTTCCAGATGATACACTCTCTATTGCTCCTCTACTCTTTCCTTTTCAACTGGATCCTTCTTCTGGGCCTACCATCATGCTCAAGCCTTACCACCCAAAATAATAACAACATACACCATATCCATCTTTCTCCTCCAGACACTATTCTTCTTTTCCTTTCATGGCCAAGTCTCTGTAAAGGGTAGACTATACATGTTATCTGCATTTTCTTGCTTGTTATTCATTCTTTGATCCTCTCTGGCATCCCCACCCTCCCACTCCACCATGTAGTAATCTAGGCCACTAATAACCTCCTAATTTGCAAATCCAACAGATGCTTCTTCATCCTCTTCTTACTTAAACTGTCTATGGCTTTCGGCTTTGATAACCACTTCCACCCCTGTGAAACCCCCTGCACCTGTGGCTTCTTCGACAACACCCTCACCCAGTTCCCTTTTGACCTCTCTGACTACTAATTCTCCATTTCCTTCATGACTGCCTCCCCAGTCTCTACCTCTTACATGTTGGCTTCTTCAGGGCACTATTCGCTCTCCCTGTTCTCTTCCCTTTCTCCTCTCTCCTCCTAGGTGGTTGCTTCCATTCCTGTAATTTCAAAATTGAAGGTAGCTTTCTTGAGAATTAGGGACCTATTTTAGACTCTTCACTTAAAGAAATGAGTCAAAGCTGCTCTGGTAAAGTATCTTTACCATTGGATTAAGCACTTTGTCATAGATTGAATTGTGTCCCCACAAAAGTTTTATTTTTTATTTGAAGGTCAATATTAGGTTTGCAACCTTTAATTTTTCCCTTAATCTTTTGCTATAAGGGCATTAGAAAAAACTACCATTTAAGCACTAAACTCTCAGAACAAGTATAATCATTTAGATACTTGGAGTTTTATGAAAAACCAACTTTTCCAGTTTTGTTTCAGATCCGTAAAAACTTTATAACAGAAACATTTAAGCGTTCAGGTTATGCATGTGACAAAGAAAAATATTAATACATAAACATTCATGGCCTCTTTTCTTTGTTCCCAGACATCTTCCCCTCCCTTTCCAAATTCGCTTTGGACATATTATGAAATCAGGGTGACAATCAGCTAGAGGGAGAATTTAAGAATCAGAAGCTGGGATGAATAGTGAGAATTCCTTTTTAAAAAGGTAGAGAATGGGCCGGCCCGGTGGCGCACTGGATAGTGTGCCGCTTGGGAAGCGCGGCGGCGCTCCCGTCGGAGGGTTCGGATCCCACATACAGACCGGTTTCTGCTCACTGGCTGAGCGAGGCGCGGGAGCAACACCGAGGGTTGCGATTCCGTTGCCGGTCCCCGGTCCGGTACGGGGGCAACACTGAGGGTTGCGATCCATTGCCGGACACGAAAAAAAAAAAAAAAAAAAAAAAAAAAAAAAAAAAAAAAGGTAGAGAATTATCTCTCAAAAGAAAGCTTAGGTGGATGAGAAGGTAGAGAAGCGTGCTTAGGTTTGAGGGAGTTGAGGGGAGGGTGAGCTAGGTATATGAGAGGAATTGAAAATGATAAGAGATGAGGGAAGACACTTTAGGAAGTTTGCTGTACATTGTGTGTATCCCCCTTTTAGTACGTTCTTCGGAATCTGAGGTAGAGATTTAAATTGCTTTCAATTGTCCTCCCCGCCCCCCGCTGGATTTGTATCTCTTTTATTTCATTTTTTTCAAGATAAATTGTATTATGAATATTCAAGGTATACAACATGATGTTATGGGACACATGCAGATAGCAAAAAGGTTACAATAGTGAACAAATTAACATATCCACCATCTTACAATAGTTCCCCATTTTTGTGTGTGTGTGTGTGTACTAAAATGTACTCATTTACCATGAATCCCATATATAGCACAATTTTATTACCTAACGGACTTGTATCTCTTTGCGTGTGATTCTGCGTAGGACCAAATCACAAGGCAGCTGGGCCTTATCAAGGCTTGCTTATGACTGCTATCGGAGGCCGTGTGTACAATGGTTAGGGCTGGGGACCCTGGGCTCAGAAGCCCTGTGTTTGAACCCTGCCCCCAATCCTTTTCCTAATCCTTCCTCTGAGGGTCCATGAGAGAATTACTTTCCTGCTCTATGCCTCATATCCCCATCCATGAAAGGGAGATAACCCGGACTGCTGGAAGGATTACATAAGTTAATGTCTGTAAGTTACTTTGCGCGGTGCCTGGCTATAGAAGGCCTCCCTCAGTTCTTAGCTAGTAAAACCCCCCCAGAAATCTACACGTAATCTTTCACCTGCTTAAGCCAAACAAACCCAGAACACCTGTCGTGGCTCACCGTTCCTAAACGTCTTGGCAGGGCAGCCCCGAGCCCCGACCTCGATTTGTCTCTGCGGGCTTTGCTGCGACCTTCTCTCCCGCGGTGCTGGCCCGGCCGGTGCGCAGCGCCGGCTCAGCGCTCGCTCGCGGCCCAGGCTCCCCGCCGCATTCTCGGGCATCCTCTCGCAGACAGACCTTCCCGGTCCCCTCCCTGCGCTCTCTCCACTTTGGACCGCTCTACTCGAGCTTTTCTCACGTTGTGTGTTGTAACCGTTTCAAGAGTCTGACTCGCCCGCACATCGTAGATGCTCAATTAAAGTGGACGGAAAGGAAAACGCGGTAGCTTCTCCCGAAAATACCAAAAGGGAGGCTCCGGCTGGGGAGAGAAAACTCAGTCGGTAGCAAATGTCCTTCCACCCTGGGACGCGTTGCCACGGGTGCCGGCCGGCCACGTCGCCGGGGGCGGGGGCGGGGCGCCCCTGTCTGGACCTCCCCTCCCCCGCCCTCCCCTCTCCTCCCCGCAGGCTTCCAGCCGGCCCCCGGCGCCTGCGGTCACGTGACACCCCCCTTGGGCGCACAGCTGGAGGCGGGTCCCCGCCCTCTCCCGGGAGTTGGGGCGCTGGGGCGGGCGCGGTGCATTGTGGGCTGAGGGGCGGGGGTTGGGAAGATGGCGGCTCCCAGCCTCCTCAACTGGAGGCGGGTTTCCTCCTTCACGGGGCCGGTCCCCCGCGCCCGGCACGGACACCGGGCAGTGGCCATCCGGGAGCTGATGATCATCTTTGGCGGGGGCAACGAGGGCATCGCGGACGAGCTGCACGTCTACAATACCGGTAGGCGCGGCGGCGGCGGCTCCTCGGCCCCGCCTGCGGGAGCCGCGGAGGGGGAGGGGAGGCGAGGCGGCGGCCGCGGCCCTGACAGCTGTCACCGCCCGGTCACTGCTTCTACGGGCGGGCGGGCGACGGGGAGCGTGGCTCGGCCGAGCAGCCCGGGTCTCGCAGCGTCCCGGACGGCAGTTCCGTTTCCCCGGCGCCCGCGGGCGGAACGGATCCGAGCGGGGCACTCCGGCCCTCAGGCAGCTCCTCAGGTCCTAGCCCCGCTGGCAGATGGAGGCGAGAGAGACGATTTCCACCCGTCCGGGCCTCTCCCCGAAGTCTCGCCCACTCCGGGGTCCCGAGATCCCTCCCCTGTCAAAAATCAAAACCAGCACCAAACCAGAGCTCCTCCAGGCTTTCCCGTCTTTGCCCGCCTTCCTTCGGAGGAAGAGAATCTGTGGGTGAGGAGGGAGAACGAGAGGCCCTCTGGTCCTTTCACCCCACACACAGCCCGGTATCCGGCAGGTAGCGGTCAAGATGTCCCCCACTGGAGCTCTCTAACCCAGCGAGGAAGTGGTTCGTAGGTGAGATCGGCCTTGTCTGCACAGTTGGTGTGCTGTGTGCCGACGCTCAGCCGAGCGGCGCCCTTCTGCACCGGTCCTGGGAAAGGGGACTGTGTGTCACAGCTTGAGCACCACTCCAAAGCACAAGGGCCCCTGGTCAGGGAGGCCCTGTCTGACTGATCTCCGTGGAACAGAAAGGAGGTTGGAATTTCATTTTTCCCACTTGTAAATCCTCCAGCTTTCATGAGAAATCTCTTTCCTTGGTGTAAGGCTGATTACTGAATTTGGGGTCTACTTCATGACCAGTAACTTTTCTGTGACCAAACAACTTAGTAGTCATTTTAAGGTTAACAAAACAGTGGACTCAGGTTAAAAAAAAAAAAAAAAAAAAAAATTTCACCTTCTTCTCCTCCCGGTCCCCCAGTATATAAAGTTACAAAGTTATTTGACAATTTGGTAGTGTAAAAACCCTGGCTTTGGAACAAATTAGACATAGTTTGAATCTTGCTCTCTGCTGGTTGCCCAGGCTCAGTGCTAAAGTTACCAAATCTTTTTAAGTCTTAGATTTTTCACTTGTAGAATGGAGATGATACTCATCCAGCAGGGTGTTTGTAAGAATTTCATGGTATAGATCAGAGTTTTTCAAGAGCAGCACTATTGACATTTTGGGTTCGGTAATTTTTTGGGGGGGGGGGGGGGCTGCCCTGCACATATTGTAAGAGGTTTGGCATCATTTTTTGCTTCTACCCACTAAATGCCAGTAGCACCTCACCCCGTCCAGTTGTGACTACTAAAACTGTCTCCAAACGTTGCCAAATGTCCCATGAGGGGCAAAATCATCCCTAGTTGGGAACCACTGACATAGATGATACATATAAAGTAAATACAGTATGTGATAACCACTGTTTGTTATAATTGGTTTTAATTTTATTTTGGCAACTAGTTACAAATCAGTGGTTCCTACCAGCTGTTAGAGGAGACATCCCTCCAGGCTGTGCTGCCCATGGATTTGTCTGTGATGGTACCAGAATATTAGTATTTGGGGGAATGGTTGAATATGGAAGATACAGCAATGAGTTATATGAATTACAAGTAAGTCTGTTTAAATTTTATTATTTTAATCTGAAGCTTTAATAGTGATATTGCTCATAATTCTCCAAAGGATTGCAAAATATTTAATTAACACATAAAATAGTATAAGCTCCACATTTTATAGCTTCAAAGAAAATGTTTTTATTTCACTTAAAAGCCAAAGCTTCTAATGTGAGTCTTTTTCAAGATACCCAGAGCAACATTTGTAACATCAAGATATCTGTTACTTAGCATCATTTATAAGTTATATTTGTATGTTTAGGTTTTTGTATTTTAGTGAAATAGTTCTTCAACTTTAGCCTGTAACAGGAGCACCTGGAGGACATGTGAAAACACAAATTGCTGGGTCCTGCCCCAGGAGTTTGAGTCAGTAATGTCTGTAGTGGGGCCTGAGCATTTGCATTTTTATCACATTCCCAGCTAATGATGCTGATTCCCAGACCATACTTTGAAATCCACTGCCTCAGTGTTATAGAAACTGTTATCCTCACACTAATAATTACTTTTTTTTTACCCTGGCAATACATACAAAAAAGGGGTAAGAGTTTCATATAACATTTCTAGATTTGACTCTCATTAAACAGGACTCATACCCCTAGTTGGCTTTTCTTCCTGATCTTTACATATGTCCCCAAGGCTGTCATCTTGAGGGTATCTGCTAATTGGCAGATGTGTGTTAATACCTTTTTATAAATGACTCATTTTGAAAATAATTTCAGATAAAGAAAACACCCATGGCCAGGGAACAAGTTTTGGAGTTTGGTTTTTTAAATGAGCTTTATGTTTATGTAAAGATTAAAGTATTTAGTATTCATGGATTACCTAATTTCCGAAAGTATAAGAATACATAAATTACATTTAATCTTAAAGCTATATATAACACAATTTTTCATTTGGAAAATACTTTAGAACTGTTAGTGTTTGTTATAATGAGCTTAGTTAGCCTTTTTGGAAATCTGTGAATGTAGAAAACTAACCTGAATTTCTGTTGGAACATATATTTTAATTACAGAAGTTAGCTGCATACTTGTCATCTGCCCCAAAAGTGGTTTATTGGAGCCTTCTGATGGGATTTGGATTAAAATGTATTGGTATGATGTTGCATTATTGACAATATAGGAATGCCTTCTTCATTTTGTTTGAGTGTGTTTTTGCTTTTTTTAGGCAAGTCGTTGGTTATGGAAAAAAGTGAAACCCCACCCCCCTTCTTCTGGTTTACCTCCTTGTCCTAGGCTTGGACATAGCTTCTCTTTATATGGTAACAAATGCTATTTGTTTGGTGGCCTGGCAAATGAAAGTGAAGATTCAAACAATAATGTTCCCAGGTATGCTGACTCTTTTTCAGACCCAATAATTATTTTATAATTTAGATTAGGAACGTTTGATTTCTTCCATCTTTATTATCAAAAGGGATGAAGCTTAGCCCTTTGCATTTAAACCTAACAGTGAACAAATTTGTATGTATTCGGGTTTTCTTTACTTCTCGGAGTATATCTGTTTTCAGAACTATGTCTTTTCTAGTCAGAAATCATCTTATTAAATTAGTGTTAGTATAACTGCTTGTAGCAATATAATCATATATATTGAACCAGAATGCTTTTTAGCTAGGTCATAAATGATAATGAAAAGTCACAGATGGTTATTTTAAAATTAGGTTCCTCTGGGAATTTGATGACAAAAGTCTGACTATAAAATGAAAGCCATCATTTCCACATTTCATACAAGAAGCTTTTAGAGTGGTTCACACTAGCAGATACTTTCTGAATCAATTCTTTCCAAACAGATTTAATCCACTGCCTCTTTTTTTTTTTGACACAGTGTTTTGATCACATTGCATTATAGTCCAAGAGGCAGTTTTCTGATTCAGGGCTTATCATGTGTGTCCTTTAGAGCAAGTAATCTAAGCCTCTTTCCTTCACTGTAAAATGGGAGTGACTAAATACCTATACTTATCCTATAGTTTCATTTTGATGGCTAAATAAGATCATGGCTATAGTTTTTTTTTTTTAAAGAGGACCGGTAAGGGGATCTTAACCCTTGACTTCGTGTTGTCAGCACCATGCTCTCCCAAGTGAGCTAACCGGCCATCCCTATATAGGGATCCAAGCCCTTGGCCTTGGTGTTATCAGCACCACACTCTCCCAAGTGAGCCATGGGCTGGCTCTACGGCTATAATTTTTAAAGCACTTTCAAGTTGCCATAATGTGCTGTATAGCAGTTGTTATCATCATCGTAATGGCTTTATACCTACATTAGATTGATGGTAGTGTCTTAGCTATTTTTTTCTTCAAACTTTAAAAAATAACAGATGTACTAAAACATCATGGGAAATTTGGAAAGTGGAGAAAAAGAAAAAAAATGATCCCATCACAGTAATCCAGATACTTTTACTTTTAGCACATCTTTTTTCATTTTTCCATTAAACAGGCATTTAAATTAGTACTTATAAAAATTCAGGAAATGAGAAAGTACTCACAACATCACCTTCCGTAACACAGGCAAATACATATAATTTAATTTGATGTGTATCTTTTGGAACCTTTTCATGTAATACATTGTATTAGTCAGCTTTCATTAGAATATTATTTATAACGGGGCAAGCTTCTCAGAATTATACTGCTTGAGGGGGCAAGGAGATACATGGGATGCTTTTTAAAGACTCTAACCAAAGCTAACATGTTCATTTCTGATTACATTTCACTGGTGAAAGCAAGTCATATGGACAGGGCCAGAGTCAGTGGTCTAGGGGTATATACTCTGTTTCCTGGGAGAGATGAGTTGGGAATATTACCTGTTCCTCCACACAGACATATTTATTTTCTTTTATATGGGAGGTCTCTCTTTTTTTTCTTTGCAAATTTGAATGTTTGCTTGTTTGTTTGGTTTTTGTTTTTGTTTTGTTTGTGGCTTTCCCCCCTTAAC